TAATGTATCTTAGAACTGAATTAGTGGAATGACGTATAAATTATAATCTATCACCTGAAGAAAAGCCCTATTCAATTCATTTACTTTTGAGAGAACATCATTAATAGCATCACACATTTTTTAATTACAATTCCATGTTCCCATTGAATACTGGATACTCTTCTCCCATAGTGCTGTAGCTTATGTTTCCAGTTTCTTTTCAATGCATATATTAGGGTCCACTTCATACAATTTCTCAGTTTATTCATATGGGGCTTGGAATGAATTTATGGAATGGAATGAATTTAAGACTAGAGTGATGCTAATAGGAGTATCTGCAATTCAGATTATCTGATAACCAAAAAGGATTCTTACCTGGAACTTAATTAAGGAAAAAACAAGTGCCTCCCATTAAACATCAGAGAAATTGTTATTATGCATAAACATTATCACAATTTTCTCTGTGATTATTTTTCTTCTGAGAGTTGTCCTAGTTTCCAGATGGGTGTGTATGTTGCATGAGCTGAGTGCACATACTTGGACATCAGGGGCTTTAAGCATGCACCCCCAAAACAGAGTACACCTTTGGTCCACCTTTGCCCAGGAAATTCAGGGAGTTGCAGCCCCAGATGTGCCTACAGAGCACAGAAGGAAGGCTGCTAGTATGGTGCACCTGTTAGAGACTAAAGCAAAGGCCTTAGTTCAGTTTTTTTACATTTTCTGAACAGATGTGACTGTCTAGACCAATATTTCTCAACCTTGGCAACTTTAAGATGAGTGGACTTCAACTCCCAAAATTCTGGGAGTTGATGTCCACACATCTTAAGGTTGCTAAGGTTGAGAAACACTGGTCTAGACCTTTCTAATAAATGTGTGTGAAACCAAATGTAACAATGTTTCTAGTTCTTGGGGATTTTTACACTTGGGTAGACCCTTTGTGTACATAGAATATATATGACCTATTGATATATTTGTGCTGGATTGGAATGATTAATCTGAGTTGGTTCATGGCTGTGAAGTGTAAAGAAAAATGGTATAAATTTTAATATAAAAGAAACTACTCATGGCTGAACAATTTAACAGATATTTCATTGCACTGTGGATATCACAATATTGGCATACAGGCAGAATCAATTTGTTTTAGTGCCTCTTTGTAAATCTCTTCTCTCCCATAGCACATGGATGGTGCTTATATTTATGGAACTAATATGCAGAAAGACTATAGGGTTTACAGCTTTTAAGAAAATATCTGCTTTGTAATACTCTCAATCATATTTGCTGGAGCTTCTGCAAACACGCTGTCCTTTTTCATCCTTGGTAATTTATTATTTGTATTCCTTGGTTTAACTTTTTAAAAATTATTCTTTTGCTCATGCAGTGGGAAAGCTTAATGTGACAGCTACAAAAAGTAAGTAGTGTATATTGTATCTTCTTATTTGCTTGTGGATAGATAACCATAATCGTTCCATCTGAGATGGTCATGTGATTTGTGGGTAGACTGTTGTAGTGTCCAGAAGAACATCTGGTGCATTCAAATCAGCATGTGTGGGAAGAGTTAGGATGTGCCGACAGGGGATGGATAGCTTAATCCTCTGTCCTTTGGAGGGAAGTGCACAGGATTCCAAATCACAAGGAGGTTTCAAATGTCTGTTTCAAATGTCCTTCCCTGCAGATAATCAGGCTGCATGAATGGATGCAAGAGACAGGACAGAAATTAGTTAGTGTAATTCCCTTCTCCCTTTACATGTTGACAAGATGTGTGAGGCATTTCTCTGTAGGTTGGCAATAAATAACAACATATGTTAATATTAGTGATGCTGAAATTATGCAGAGTTAAAGAGAAAGACTGCATACTGGAATATTCCTGAACTACTTGTAACTCTTTTATTTTCCTTCTCTCATGCCTAATGTTTCTTGGCTATTTGTGGGAGAAGCTGCCAATTGTTATTCATGGTAGCAGCGAATCTTTTCTTTTGACTATGTTGTTACATACAATATTTTCATTTATTGAGTAAAACTTCAGTTTAAAACTTCACTGTGTGTTTCTTCACTGAAAAGTGAATTGATTGTGTGTCCATGAGTGCATGAAGAGACCAGAAGTTCCCCTTACCTACAGAACTTTAGCTGATTACATAAATGGATCTTAATCACATGCTATATATATTCAGACTCTGTAGAGATGAATAGAGACTATTTCGGCAGGGCTCCTGATCATGTGCATGAGCTTATGTTCATAAGGCTTATTTTAAAAAATCAACTGAATATGAGTAGATTAGGAAAACAGCTTATTCCCTCACTCCTGTCTCTTCCTTCTGGACACTCAATATAACCACATGTTGTATTAACTGCAATATAGATCAACGGAAGCATTTCTTCATCATCTCCTTCTCCATCACTATCTCTAAAATTATCCATCTCCATTTCTATCTCATTTCTATCATCAGTATCAGGATCTATTATTCAATCTGCGTCTGAAGGAATGTAACCGAGACACAAATTGATGAAGCTGAGGCAGAGGCTACTGGTATTCTCTATCAGGGGCATTAAATAGAGCTCCCTTGGACCTGGAGGAAGCCCCTCAGATAGGACCCCTCAGTGGGAAGGATCTTAGTAGCAGCAGGCCTGACTGTATGATCATTGACCCTCATTGCCTCAAAGTATCCTTGCTGCTAGACCCAGAAGGGATCTCTCTCCCTCCTCTTCAGAATACAGCCATGCATACATAAGACCCTTCCCTCAGAAGACCCCCACAAAATGCTTTGCTCTTAGACATATTTAGCAGGGCCACAAAGCTCTGGATGAACACTAAAGGGCAGCAAAGAGTTTTCTGTCTGCCTTGGCTGCCGCCACTCCCCCTCCCCTTGTCCCTTCAGGAGCACAAGAAAAGGAAGAGAGCATCCAGCAGCAATCAACATGGAAGTTGCCAGAGACTCCAATGGCTCCATTTCTTGTTCTTGCTACTGCAGCCACAGCAGTGTTAGCAGGTCTTCCCTCCCTCACTCTGCCTTCCTTCAGCACCATCAAGCAGCTGTTCAGTTGACAACTAGACATGGCAGCAAAGAGACAGAAGAAACCTGAGCCTTTAGCTTCCATCTAGTCACCAACGGAATTTAGCAGCTCAGATAGGGTAGCTGTAATCACCTTGTCTGGTTTGTTGAAGGTGTTGGCCAAGGAGTGGGCGGCAAGACGAAGCCTGGTGGGCTCTCCTTTACTAAATGTATAGCATTGTTCTTCATCCAGTCTTCTGTTTCGAAAATGTGCAGAGGGTGCTATTATTTGGAGGAATGCAACTTAATCTGAGGCTGGCCAAATACTTCATTTTATATATATAAAACACATTCTCTCCTATTTAAAAGGTATACTATAGTGTACCATAGACTTGTATAGCTGTAAAATTTGATGTATTGATTAACTAACATTAATCAATAACGTAGGGCATTATATCATCATATATAATAACATAGGGCATAATCTTCTTATATAATAATTATATAATAAGAAGATTCCATTAGTTATCAAAAATAAGTATCAACTTCAGATTTTTTTCCCCACAAATTTCTCTATATTCACTTGTGGGTTTTTGGTTTATTTGCTTGCTTGTTTTTTTTCTTTGTTTTTGGTATTCGGTTGTGCGTGCATTCCTTGGTAGTTTTTTTTTTTTAATTGGAAACATGTGGTCACATACTTTTCTCCATCGTACGAATATGTGTGGCTATTTTTCATAGGCATTCCCTGAAATGTAAACTATTATCATAATATTCTCAAAAAGATACATTTGGAGGTGCATATTTACTTTGGGTTCATCCATTTATTCGGTGGGTCCAAATGTGGTAATTCACTGAAGTTTCCTAATACTTTTTAAAGAAAGCCAATAAGAAACAGGATGGTAGGTATTATCTTCATAGCCAAACCTGTTATATTCAGGAATAAAAAGGATTTCCTGGCTACTGCCAAAATTTGGGAACTTATCTTCAGAACAGAATAAAAGAGCACATCTGAACTGTGAATCTGAGTTTGTAGAGGGAGTCTTACCTTGCCCAGCACAGAGTCATAGATTGCCAGGATCACCTCTTCCTTGTGTGGGTGAAGTTTAAATGTATTTGCCCTCATCCACTTCATTATGAATATCAGATATCCATATCAGATAATTGGATCCATTTGGATGAAAAAGAGAGACAGAGGGGGTTATCCCAAAATATAGAGATATCAAACCTTTAAACCCTGTGTAGTTTCCTAGTTTAGTTTAATATAGACATTAAATAGAGTGAGGGATGAGATAGAGGGACCACCTTCTGAAACCACTTTTCCAGGAACATGAAGAGTGATCGTAAAAAGTGTTTCTCAATTCTATCTCAGCCAAATGCTTGAGAAGATATAATGGCTGATGATACTGAAATCCAATGATACTGAAATTTGGCCTTTCAGCTCAAAAGAACAAAATAAACACATTCTTTTTGTCCAGTTACGATCACAGATGATCAAAGCAGTTCTGTCCCTAATGAGGTGGATATTAGGTTGAAGTGGATCAAATTATCCTGGGTCATTCAGAAATTCAATTATCCCTTCATTCAAATATCCATCAACTGCACTGCTGTTCCAGAATATGGCATTAATCTACTTAAAAAAAAAATAAATCTGAAGTTGTTTTTCCTAACATCCCCCCCCCCCTTCTGTATGAAGTCTTCTTCCTCCATTAAAATGAATAGGCTGTTGACTAGGCAACATTTTGCATTGTTTATTTTATGTTTAGATTTCAGGTATTTTATTTCTCCAAGTGCAGAAGTGGAAAGTAAAAAAGGGTTCTGTCATTTTGACTACTAATTCTTGAATAAAAATGCACTCTGAAATAATTTCCTTTTAAATTTATTCTTTAGAAGTGGAAAAAGGAAAAAAGGTGGTCCAAGAAAAGAAAGCTATTCCAGAAGTTAAAAGAAAAGGTAGAGTATTTATTATTTTAAAATATAGCAATTAATTTACTTTATCTTTAAAGGGCTCTGCTCTGCCTATTGTATTTAAATGAAATGAAGCCAATTCATTACCTTTTGATTTATGTCTTTGAAGGAGAAGGGAAAAAAGTAACTGCTGAGAAGAAACTGGTTCCTGAAATTAAAAAGAAAGGTAAGCTATTTGCATAAGGATTGCATTACTAAATTGCAGCTGAATTAAAGGTATAACATACCTGGTGGTTATGTGTAAAGCATCACAAATCAGAATCAGATAATCAAGTGGTCATAGAATCAGAACATACATGATGTACATAAGAGGAAAGTGAAACTTCAATTGCACAACCACAGCTGCCATTTTGACCTTTTTTGACCCACCTTTGTGGATGTCCTCGGAGCATATGGACACCCCCTGTAGAATATGGAAGTTGGATGCCAGGACATATACATATAAGTAAGAGGAAATCCCACTGAATTCAATCTTAATTGCTTTTGCTATAGTTTATGTATTTTATGGAATATTTTCTAAATTATTTTGTAGGGGATAACATTTTAAATGAAAGAATGGAGACATTCATTACCTAGCTCTGGATAGGCATGGATAAGGTTTGTCTGTCTGTAGTTATCTGGTATGGAAGTTGGTGATAATTATATGTATTGACCCATCTACAGTGATATCTTAAAATGAGAAATAAATTACAAATAATATAATGGAATGGAAGCTAGATGCCTGCTGACACAGAAAACTAATTATTGCTATTTTTGTTGTTGAATTTTATTGTAAAGGATGGGCAGAATGAGCTGAACCTCTTTTTCAGTGTATTAGCTACTTCTGTCCTTATGAGCCAAAACCATGTTTTTCATATTTCAGAAGTGGAAGAAGAAAGAAAGATAATCCATAAGAAGAAAGATGTTTCTGACATTCAGGCAAAAGGTATGCTTTTTGAATGTGATTTTGTTTTATTTTATCATTACCACCATAGTGTACAGTAAATATAAGGGATTCTTGTTTGCGTGGGTGATCTCATTGTGCATTACATTCCCCATTAGAAGTTTTGTAATCCATACAGATTATTGAATCCCACTGATGTCAGTGAGCATCTTCCAGGTACATAACATTATTTATTTTGGTCATTGACCAGCAAAATTTACAGTCAAAACTAAAATTAATACTATCTCATTGTGCCAATAGTCTAATCTACATACTATAAGAATAACTAAAATTGAAGGTGCTAGCACAAATATAAATGTATCATTGGCACATGATGCCAATGCCATTAAGATTATAAATACATAACCTATGAATGCAATGCTACATAAATCCATGTATTTGGTATACTATTATATACACACATACACACACACACACACACACACACAAACACACACATATATATATCATTCTCCAAATATGTTCAAGTTTGGACTGACTTCAGTAGTTTAAAATAATGGCATAAATAATTATTTTATGGTATTCTTTCATATGCTT